CAGTCTTGAAATCCTGCATCCTAGGGAAAAGACATTAACTCTGTCTATAGCCCTCATTGATTCATTAACTTTTATCAGGTCGTCTCTCGACCTCCTATGCTCCAGTGGAAAAACGTCCCAGCCTTTCTTTATAAATTAAACCCTCCCGTGCCTGGCAACATCCTGGTAAATCTCTCCTGAACACCTTGGGAGGTTGTACAGGACGTTGGTGAGGCCTCTTCCAGAGCACTGTGTCCAGTTCTGGTCACCCAAAACCCTGTTTTAACCGAAGATAAACTTCCCAGTCTTGTATCGAACTCTCCCCTCCATGGTAAAGGTGAGGTAGACGAAGGGAAGCAGGCCATTCTGCCCATTGAGTCCCGCTCTGCCATTCAATGCCTATCTGATCACCCTCAGCTCCCACTTACCTGCCCTTTGCCCCCCTCAATGATTTATAAAATCCTCAACGACCCGGCCTCTGTGGTAAAGAATTCCACAGATTCGCTCCCCTCAGAGGGAGGAAATTCCTGCCACTCCCTGTCTTTAATGGGTGACCCCTCATTCTGAGATGCTGCCTCTCTGGTCCTAGACTCTCCCCAACAAGGAGGAAACAACCCCGTGCACATCTCCCCTGCAAATTTTGCCCCCCACCCCGAGAACCTTGTGTGTTTCAATACGAGCACTTCTCGTTCTTCTTATAATAACCTAATTCTTTTCGTAAGCAGCCTCTTCAGAAATTTCATTACACACCAGGGAACCTGGGTCTCTCAGTTCAGGGGGTAGGGACTGCACCGCAAGAGGTCCCCTTCACTTTTTGTTCCTCTAAGCTCCCGTAGAAATCGACCGAATCTGCTCGATCCTCCCTCCAGGCCTGGGATCAGTCAAGCGAACCTTCTTTGGAATGCTGCAAGGCTTCCCGATTGCTGGCTCACCCCTGCATTCATGTCCCCCCTCTTAATGAAGCAACATCCTCCTGCCTTTAATAAAAACCGAAAGAACTGCCGATGCCGTGAGTCAGGAGCAGAAACGGAAGTTGCTGGAAAAGGCTCAGCAGGGTCTGGCAGCATCCGCGAAGGGGAAAAAGTCAGAATTAACGTTTCAGAACCGAGGAAGGGATCTGAAACGCTAACTGATTTTGCTTTTCTTCACAGATGCTGCCAGACCCTGCTGAGCTTTTCCAGCAAATTTGTTAATGATCCTCCTACCTTTTCCCTGCTGTTACATAGAACAGTACAGCACAGCACAGGCCCTTCGGCCCACCTATTATCCTACTACGGTCAATCTACCCTGCATACCCTACATTTGACTATCCTCCCTGTGCCTATCCAAGAGTCTCTTAAAAGTCTCTAAAGTATCTGACTCCACTGCCACCTCTCTCTGAACACTTTTCCAGCAACTTCTGTTTTTGATCTTTCCTACCTATTCCCTGCTGTTACCCGAACGCTAATCCTTTCGGACTCGTGCACCAGGACACTCAGATCCCTCTGCGTCTGCGAGCCCTCTGACCGTTTCAGATAAAGCTGACAGCCGAGGCGAATAACCCTTTCTCCCCATCTGACACCCACCCACCCCCCCCTCCTCTCTCTCTCTCTCGATGTTGACAGGTTGGGCACCCTTCACCAACTGGACAGCTGGGATGCTCGCATCTGCTAGTGTGTGCCAACGGCCAGACTCTGGGACACCGATATGAAGCCCCGGCGTGGTCCTGCCAACCATCAGCCCCCGGCACGTGGCAAGGAGAAGGTGTGGGGGGTGGGGGCAGTGGGGGGGTGGGGGTGGGGTGGGGCTTGGAGGAGCTCCCTGCGCCTCGTCGCAGAAGAATAAACAGCAGATGCTGAGATTGAGAGGGAGGATTATTGCATCCCTTCACTGTTGCGTTTATAATTTGTTTGGGAGGGAGTTGGGTAGGGGGAGGGTAGCGGTGGGGTTACAGGTTGGGGGTGGTTAGCGGGAGGTTGGGGTGGGGGGGTGGATAGGGATAGTTCAACTGCACCCCCCTCCCCCTTACCCCACCCACCGGATGTGGGCTGTTTTGAGGATTGGGAAAGGGGTGTTAGGGGTTCAGGAGGGACCTTGGTTTTGGTTGGGGGGGGGGGGGGGGGGGTTGGGGGGGGTATTTTTATCGGGCTGAAAATCGTTGTTTATCTCCAGTCGCCTTCTCGGTTCCTGCTGGAGGGGGAACGGTCCTGGCAGCACAGGCCACTCTGCCCCTCAAATCATTAGATTAGTATGGGATCCTTGCATGACTGCTATCAGGGGCACTGTCTTCCAGGGGGAGGGGGGGGTTTCTGCAAACCTTTTCAATACTTTCCAAGATGCCCACCCCTTAGTTGCCCCTGCCGCCCCCCACCATCTCTCAATCCTTGCCTGTCTCTGTCTTTCTATCCCCCTCCAGCTGCAACTTCTAGAATGTTCCCATCAACAGCAGACATGTTTTGATTTTTATCACCAAATGCAGTGCCAACCAGTAAATGGTATTTGGAAAAGTTAATGCTGGTACTGGTCCTCTCCTCCATGGCATCAAGGATCAGCAGAGAGAGAGAGAGAGAGGGAGAGAGATGGGCAGTGTTTCCAAATTCATCGGTCAGTCCAGCCCCACAGCCTGAACTGGAAAGCCTCAGATGTCCCTTCTTGGCACTCCCTCGGCGCTGACCCTCCGACGGCGCCCGCTCCCTCGGCGCTGACCCTCCGACGGCGCCCGCTCCCTCGGCGCTGACCCTCCGACGGCGCCCGCCCCCTTGGCGCTGACCCTACGACGGCGCCCGCTCCCTTGGCACTGCCCCTCTGACGGTGCCCGCCCCATCAGCGCTGACCCTCCGACGGCGCCCGCCCCCTCCGCGCCGACCCGCCGACAGTGCAGTACTCCCTCAGCACTGACCCTCAGACAGCACCCGCTCCGTCGGCACTGCCCCTGTGATGGTGCCCGCCCCCTCGGCGCTGACCCTCCGACGGCGCCCGCCCCCTCGGCGCTGACCCTCCGACAGTGCAGTACTCCCTCAGCGCTGATCCTCCGACAGCGCCCGCTCCCTCGGCGCTGACCCTCCGACGGCACCCGCCCCCTCGGGGCTGACCCTCTGACAGTGCAGTACTCCCTCGGCGCTGACCCTCCGACAGCACCTGCTCCCTCGGCACTGCCCCTCTGATGGTGCCCGCCCCCTCAGCGCTGACCCTCCGACGGCGCCTGCTCCCTCGGCGCTGACCCTCACTGTTTCTCTCTCTTCCTCTCTATGTATCTATTGAAGGCTCTGTCTCCCCAGTAATAATCCAGCTGAGGCTATGGGGGCTTGTCTGTTGGACATGGCGAAATGGAGGTGGGTAGACTTTTGTCAGGGTTCAAAGCAGGCAAGGGGCTTGGGAACCAAGGGGAGGGAGATGGAGTGAGGTTATGGAGTTGCCTTGATTTGGGGGAGAGACTCAAGGGGCTGAATGGCCTCCTGTTCCTGTGTAACAGGCTCAAGGAGGGGGAGCGGTGCTGCATGGCCTCTTGTTCCTGTGTAACAGGCTCAAGAAGGGAGGGGTTCGCTGAATGGCCTCCTGTTCCTGTGTAACAGACTCGAGAAGGGAGGGTTGAATGGCCTCCTGTTCCTGTGTAACAGGCTCGAGAAGGGGGGTGTGTTGAATGGCCTCCTCTTCCTGCGTAACAGGCTTGGGGGGGCTGAATGGCCCGCTGCTCCTATGTCACATTGTACAATGGGTCGTTCAGCCCCCCTCATACCCCCGCCCCATCCGAGCCTGTCCCCTTGGAATCAGTTTTGTAGGGAAAATGGGGTGGGGGAGGGTGCTACGGAAGCAGGAAGGGGTTCATTTCGATAAAACTCGTGTGGAGGATAAACACCAACATGGTCATTCCGAGAGGCTTGAACCACGTTGTAAATTCTTAACGTGACTTTTGTTGGCAGAGTAAAGAGTGAAATCCTTGGGGGGGGGGGGGTGGGAGATTGGGGAGAGTGCGCACGCTGAGGACAATGACGAGAAGGCAGCGTTTTTAAAGAGCTGTGGTTTCAAGGGGCCGAGGAATATAAGGTGCGGCCTAGTAGACAGGCTGTAATCCTGAGCTAGGCCCCACTGATGCCTAAGTGTAGGCCTGATGCTTTGTGCAGGAGTTCGGGGGAGGGAGGGGGGGGGGGGTGCGAAATGTGAAGAGGATGTTGTTGGGGGTCCCTCGCGGGACATTCGAGGTCGTGCAAAGATAAAATAAGAAATTCTGGGCCTGGATTCTTCCTGAGTGGGCACTCGCCAGAAACAGGAGTCTCCTCCAGCGGAAAACTGAACGGATTATTGCTTCATATCTCGATGGAATTAAGTGGGTTTTATCGTGGAGTCTTTTTTTTTCAAGTGTTTGTGTATGTTGAACGTGGTGACGGGAGTTGGGGGGGCGGTGCAGGGAAGCGAAAGAGGCTTCCACAGAAAGAATTCTCGCAAATTTGCCTTGAAAAATGCGGCATCATTCCCCCTCAACGGAACGTTGGGGAAGCAAACTGGGGGTCAGAGGACATCCAGAGGCCAAAGGCCTTTGGGCCTAGTAACTACTGGTGCGAGCATAAATGAGAAGGGGGTGGGGAAACAGTCCATAAACGTCTGGGATTAAGAATGGCGGTCGGGTTAGGCCGCGGGTGTTTTCAGGCAGGTAAGCCCCACCTTTCCGAAGGGACGGTCGACCGTGTGAGCCGTCACGCAGGATGCAGGGCACTCGTGATCCCTTTCACCGTGGCGATGCCAAAACACACTCCCCAAACCCAGCCCCACCACCCACCATGCCCCAAACCCTCTCCTCCCTCGGTTTCTGAGAGGGGGAGGAGCGGAAAACCAAAGGGGGCGAAAACATGGCAGCCGGGCGAGAGTCGGCAGTGGTGGGGGAGGGGGCGCGAAACTTTGTATTCCCGGCCATCATCGGGACACGAGAGTCGGAAACGGTCGTTGGGGGTTGGTGACGCTGACCCGACGGGGAAAACGGCCACCTTGGATTCCTAACCCGCTACCCGGCAACGGCTCCCAACGGAGCGGTTGCTAACCCGCGCGGTCGAAGGGAGCGCCTCATGACTTGTAGCTTTTCTTTTCGCGAATCTGAGCCGCTTCCCGTCTTTGGGGTGGGGGGCGGTGACGTGTGAGGGTCGAGTGGGAGAAAGCAATGGGCCTTTGAGAAATTTTTCGGGGACTGACGAGGGAGAAATCCTCCTCTCTTTCTTTTCCCTCTCACACCGAGGGAGATCTTTCACGTGCGGACGAGGAAACGAGACGGAGTGCATTTGCCCCATCCTGTCCCCTTCGGAAGTGTGGCCTGGACCCACTGAGCCTCCTGCTATTTTCTCTTGCTTTTTAATAGCTGACCCCAAGCCCCCGACCCAACAAATTAATGGCCTTTAAACGAGGAGCTCTGGCGGTCAAAAATTTACTCACTCCCTACCTCCCCCTCAAAACTCTTCAAGGGAGTGAAGGTAGTCAACTCCAGTTGCATCTTCCCTGGAAGACCCCCTGTTGGTCTTAGGCAGTCTTTGGCCATCTCTTGGGGCACCATGGGAAGGGTGGCGACAATGGTGGGTTATTGACTGGCAGAGCGAGAGTGCTCTCTGCTTTTACCCCCAATCCCAGGGTCCACAGGCGGGGAGGGACAGGTCACTGTTGGTTTTGGGGGGGGGGGGGGGGGGGGGGTGCAGTCTGGAATGTGAGCATACTGCTCCCTGGTTGTCATGCCAACAGAATGTAATGGGTTTTTCCCGTGGATTTATATTAATATTAAATGCCTTTGCAACAAATTGGGTCGTTGTCTCTCTGGTGTGTGTGTGTGAGAGAGAGAGAGACAGAGAGAGAGATAGGGTGTAGGGGGCTGGAGAAGTTGACAGAGATAGGGAGGGGGTGTAGGGGGCTGGAGGAGGTGACAGAGATAGGGAGGGGGTGTAGGGGGCAGGAGGAGGTGACAGAGATAGGGAGGGGG